TCCTCCTCCTCCTCCTCTCGGCAAACCCCTCCTCCTTTTTACCACTGAGGATGTCACTTAGCTGGGTCACGAAACGTCTGCAAGGAAGCCACCAAGGACCCAAAGCATCCACAGTGGAAGTTGGTGCTCCCAGAGTCTTGTGTGGCTCCTTCGCTCTCCGTTTCAGGAAAGCACTTAAAACTTGATGCCCGGTTGGGGTGTTTTCCAATCGATGGGCTGGAGAGTCCCTTTCAATATTGCTTTAGGGACAGGAGTGTCCTGCCCTGGCTACTTTAAGACTTGTGGACTTCAACTCCACTGGGAGTTAGAGTCCACAAGTCTTAAAGTAGCCAAGGCAATGGACACCCCCGTTTTAAGCCACCGCCAAACTCCTTTGACTGAGGTTCACTAAACGTTCCATATCATGTCAGTCTCATTGGACCCCAGTTCAGTGACGAAGGACTGGGAAATGACAGGTGGCCTCCAGTGTCCTCCTCCCACACCTACTAGGTCTAGGTTTGCTCATTCCCACTACCATCAGTGGCTCCTTACCTTCCCAACAGGTACAGTTGAGGACGGTGGCCAGGAGATCTTGGCCACCCATCCACCGGAACGCAACCAACCATGGACTTGGTAGGAAATCCAGAGATGTCTCTCCTTCTGGGACAGGCCTTCAGAAGATCCCCTTCCCTGTCATGCCCCTGTCAAGATCTGATTCGGAGGGGGAGGCCGAGCAGACAAGGAGTGGCAGTGTGGCTCAATTGGCTGTGGAAGAAGGGCACAGTCCAGCTGGGTAGAAGGGAAGGGAAGAGGTAGAACAAGGCAGAGGGAGTTCAGAGGAAGACCCAGCTCCACCCCGTCTTCATCCTAGGGCATGCAGGGAGGAATGGAGAAGGGAGCAATATGGGTTGCATGGCTTACAGGGGAGGAAAGGGCCCTGATACCCTTCATTAGCTGAAGGTAACCTGGACATTGGGGGGCAAAGTTGGAGATAATAAAGGGACTCTTCTTGCTTATCTGACTATGTTGCCTTTGGGCCACGCCCCTTTGGGTCATCCCGCCCCCCCCTTTCCTCCTTCATCTCTTGCAGATCTTGAAAGACCCCGCCAAGCCCAAGGCCAAAGGAAACTTCTGGACCGTCGACGTGGACCTCATCCCCCCGGAAGCCCTGAAGCTGCAGAACACAGCGGTCTCCCGCCAAGAGGAGAGAACCTTCGCGGTGGACCTGGCTCCATTCGTCTACCATGGCTGGGCTTTCCAAGCCCCCCAGCCTCCCCTCAATGGGGCTGACCCGGAGGCGAGTGGGCTCCCAAGCAGCGAAGGGGGCCGCCAGAGCAGCCCCTTCAGCATCGATGCCTTGCTCCATGACTTCCAGGGGGTGGGTCTCTCAGGGAAAGCAAGGGCCGAGAGCCCCACAGCAGCCTCCAAAGTCTGGGGCACCGTCCCCATCTTCCGGGTCTCCTCGGGCGCCCCCCTCCTCCCCTGGCAGGCCCCAGGCCCTCTGCCCATGCTCCGCTCCTTCTCGTCCTCCAGCAGCCCTGCCTCCCTCAGCTCCTTATCCCCCAACGAAGAGCCCAAAATGGCGGCTGGCGCCCCAATTTTGGCCAAGCGCCCCAGAATCCTCCAGCTGCCCCCCAAGACCAGCGATTCTGACTCCAGGGAGGGCACTCCACCCCCCGCTGCCCCATTCTGGGAGCAGCTCCCTACTTCCTACACCCCCTGTCTGGCTCCCAATGTGGTGGTGGCGGCACCTCAAAGCCACGGGCTGGCCTTCCCCCACAACCCAGCCTTCCCCGCTTACGGCCCCATGCCTTTCCCACACCCAGCCTACTGGGAGCTGATGCCCCGGTCCTCCCTGAGCCCAGGCTCCTCCTCCAGGGTGGACTTGGGCCTAGAAGAAGCCATGCCTCCCAACAAGACCGTCTTTGACGTCTGGATGAGCCATCCCATGGACATCGTCCACCCGGCCTTTCCCCAGAGAAGCCCTTCCCCCCAGAGCTCAGTCGTGACCCACTACAACCCCTCCTGAGGGCAGCCTTTGGCAAGAGGGGTGGATAGATGGTCAGACATGACAGCTAGGCTATTTGGCCAGCAATGACCACTCTATCTTCTTCTCGGCCTTTCAACTCCATAGGACAGGGGTCTCCAACCTTGGTCACTTTAAGACTGGTGGACTTCAACTCCCAGAATTCTTCTTCCAGTCATGTTAGCTCAGGAATTCTGGGAGTTGAAGTCCACAAGTCTTAAACTTGCCAAGTGTGGGGACCCTTGGTTTAAAATATAAAGAGGCCTCTAGTCAGGGGTCTTCAACCTTGGCCACTTGAAACCTGGTGGATTTCAACTCCCAGAATTCTTGGAGTTGAAGTCCACCAGTCTTAAAGTGGCCAAGGTTGGAGACTCCTGTTCTAGCTAATCCAAGGAAGTTCTAGGTCAGAGGTCTCCAAACTTGGCCACTTTAAGAACTATGGACTTCAACTCCCAGAATTCTTCTTCCAGTCATGTAAGCTGAGGAATTCTGGGAGTTGAAGTCCACCAGTCTTAAACTTGCCAAGTTTGGGGACCCTTGGTTTAAAATATAAAGGGGCCTCTAGTCAGGGGTCTCCAACCTTGGTCACTTGAAACCTGGTGGATTTCAACTCCCAGAATTCTGGGAGTTGAAGTCCACCAATCTTAAAGTGTCCAAGGTTGGAGACCCCTGTTCTAGCAAGGAAGTTCTAGGTCAGAGGTCTCCAAACTTGGCCACTTTAAGAACTATGGACTTCAACTCCCAGAATTCTTCTTCCAGTCATGTAAGCTCAGGAATTCTGGGAGTTGAAGTCCATAGTTCTTAAAGTGGCCAAGTTTGGGGACCCCTGGCATAGAACAACCCAACAGTAACATAACAACCCAACCAGGACAACCCAATAGTTACATAAGAGCCCAACCAGGAGAAACCCATCCAGATGTTCCTGCTGTACCTCTTCAGGAGAACAGCAACCCTCGGTCCTTTGGACCAGCTATCTCCATCCGGAACCATCTTATCCACCATCCAGGTCATGGTTGTCCCCAAAGTCTTTTTCCAAAAGGCAACTCCTTGGTTTTCTTCCTGGAAAACATTTCACTTCTCATCAAAGAAGCTTCTTCAGTGCTGAGGACTGAATTCCAGGAGGAGAAGCCCACCAGATCTCCAAAGTTGCCAAGATTGGACACCCCTGGTTTAATCTATCATCCGCAAGACCAGGAAGCTGGTCTCCACCCATTGCCAGGATTCCAGGCTCGGGCCCAAAGTCACGGGTCCCAGGCTTTACCGAAGGCCAACAGGGAGGGAGCTAACTTGATCTCGGGGGAAGGGATGTTGGCAAGAGCCCTGCCAGCTGATCCTCCTCGATGGTACCCAGAGAACCCAAGAAGCGAAAGATGTCTCCAAGGAAACGGTCAAGAAAGCCCTTTGGGAGAACCAAATTCCGCTTTTCAAGAGGGGGCATCTCCCATAACCAATGCGAGAGGGAGAACCTGCTGGACCAGGTTCTGAGGACCCCCCGCACCCCGCAATAAAGCCAGAGGACCCCAGGAGGAGGAGGAGGAGGAGGGCTGGACCTTCCTCTTTGGATTGCTTGCTTGAGGTTGAAGGTTCAAACAATGGACCGGATGAGGACGAGTGCTTGGCTCTTCCACATCCTTCCTGCAGAGCTTCAGCATCCAGGGAAGAAATGCATTAATTGGAAGCTCCAAACTGGTGCAAAATGCAGCGGTTACTGGTGCCGCTCGGCTTCATGAGGACTTCTGGGCGCAATTCAAGGTGCTGGTTTTCACCTTTATTGCCCTTCATGGCTTAGGATCGGGTTGCTTGAGGGACCGTCTCTTTGCCCAGTTGATTCTACCTGCCTTACCCAATTCGGCAGGAAGGGTCTTCTTTGGGTACCATCGACGAGGGAGGGTCAGCTGGCAGGAGCCTCAAAGGAGTCCCACGGAGATTCGATTTTCCGCCTCTCTCTTGGCCCCTCTTAAGGCCTGGAAAACTTTGTCCCTGAGTCTGGAGTTCTGGATATGAGTTAAACCCTGCCTCCTGGTCCTGTGGATGATAGGTTGAATCTGAAGTGGCCAAGATTGGACATCCTTGGGTTAGATTATGCCCAGTTGCTATACCTTTCTATCTCTACTGGTTTTTTTCATTGTGTCTTATAGTTCTTTCATTTTATTGTGAGCCACTTAAAGAGTCAGGCCAACCTAAAAGAGATGACTGCACCAATCAAGTCAATAAATAAAAACATCACTGTTAAAATGACTCTGCTCCTCGTTGTAAGTACTTCCATCATCTCAGAGAAACATCATCTCTGGGAGATGCCAGATTTTACACCACTTCCCTCCTGCCCCTGGAGAACCCGACTATATTCCCAGTAAGTCCTCAGGTTATAACCCTAATCTGGCCCAGGCTTTCCATTGCTAAGAGAAGCCGTCCTTAAGTGAAGCGCCACCTGACCACACAGCATTGCAACTACAGTTCCAACAAGTTATAAGTGCTCTATCCTGTTTTGAAGAAGAGACCGGACAACCATTGGTCTAGAAGGGTATAAAGACTGAGCCATGCTGGCTGGGGAATTCTGGGAGTTGAAATCCGGAAGTCTTAAAAGTTCCCAAGGTTGGACAGCCTTACCCTATACCGGGGGTCCTCAAACTTGGCAACTTTAAGACTAGTGGACTTCAACTCCCAGAATTCTCCATCCAGCTATGTTGGCTGGAGAATTCTGGGAGTTGAAGTCCACAAGTCTTAAAGTTGCCAAACAGATAGATAACAGATGATAGATAATCAGAGTTGGAAGGGACCTTGCAGGTTATCCAGTCCAACCCCCTGCCCAAGCGGGAGACCCTACACCATTTGTAACAGGTGGCAGTCCAATCTCTTCTTGAAAGACTCCAGGGATGAAGCTCCCACAACTTCCGAAGGCAACTTCTGTTCCATGGGTTGATGGTTCTCACTGTCAGAAAGTTTCTCCTTATTTCCAGGTTGAATCTCTCCTGGATCAGTTTCCATCCATTGTTCCTTGTCTGGCCTTCAGGTGCCTTGGAGAAGAGCTTGACCCCTTCCTCCTCTCCGGGGCAGCCCCTCAAATATTGGAAGACTGTTATCCTGTCTCCCCTGGTCCTTCTCTTTACTAGACTAGCCAGGCCCAGTTCCTGCAACTGTTCATCGTAGGTTTTAGCCTCCAGTCCCCTCATCATCCTGGTTGCTCTTCTCTGTCCTTTTTCTACAGTCTCAACATCCAAGTTTGGAGAGCTCCGCCCTACCCCATTCTGGACCAGTGGTTGTCCAATTTTTCCTTAAAAACCTCCTTTGATGGAGTTCTCACAACTTCTGAAGGCCAACGGCGATGGCCTTCATCTCTTTTCTACCTTTTTCTATGATAAGGACCAGGAAAAAGAAATTAGAGGTAGTCCTCAGATTATGACCCTTTGAAGTTACGATGGTATTGAAAAAAAAACTGCCGTTGCATCCTCCTCTCGATCCTGTGATTGTAACTTAGGTGCATTTATGACAGCTGTCATGTCCCCCCACCAGCCACATTTTCCCGCTCTGTGCAATCTGCCCGTTTCAACTCCTTCCTCCCCCAACCTCTCTGCCCTTTTGGTCATCCTGCCCAAAATGGCTGAACTGGGAGCCCCTCAATTCTGCTGGTACCCCTTATCCTGACCACCCCTGTTCCCCGATCAGTGTGACAGGTGGCCTATAAATGTAATAAATATCTCTGACTACAACAATTGCTCTGGCTCCTTTCCTTTCCTCCTCAAGCGGGGGGCACGATGCTTTGGATGGAGGCCCCCGGAAGTCCCTGTTGCCTTGGCCACAGCTTCCCCTGGTCTTCTGTGAGGGCCAGACAGTCCTTGATCAGCCCTGATCCTGAATCCCAGAGGATTCCACGGGAGGGGGGTGGAGGAGTTGTAAATAGGGGCTTCCTTCAACTCTTTCTCCCTCACACACCCCTCCTTTCCCTCAGATAATTTACTCACTCCATCTAGGGAGACTCTCCATCCTTCAGGTCCACTTTTGTCCCAAAAGTGAAGACGTTTCGCTTCTCATCCAAGAAGCTTCTTCAGCTCTTCTTCACCATCTGAAGAAGGTTCTTGGATGAGAAGCAAAATGTCTTCCAAGAAAAAACAGCAACAAGAAAAGTCCAGTTGCCTCTGGAAAAAAAAAAAAAGGCAAAACAATTATAATAAAACCATATTTTTGTGACTGTCTGTAAGGTCCTTTCTTCTTCAAAACTATCGTCGGCGGTGCTTTTCTTTATCTCTGCTTCGGGGGCCTCGGCCTTAATTTTCCTAGAGGTGATCTATCTTTGGTTTAGCCAAATATACAAAGGATTCCAATTGCTATAATAGGTTGAGGATTCTTTATTTTTTAACGCTTGGGTTAGTTTGTCCATTTCGGCGCATTGTAAAATTTTCTGAATAACCATAAGTTCAGTGGGGATAGAGGGTAGTTTCCAGCAAAATTAATAAAATTAATTAAGTAAAATTAATAAAGTTTTTTCTAAAAAAAAAGAAAAAAGAAAAAAAAGGCACCTTTGGGACAACCAAGGACCTGGAGGACGGAGAATCTCCATAGACATTTAGTGTTACCAGCTCAGCATTTCTCAACCTGGGTGAGTTGAAGATGAGCGGACTTCAACTCCCAGAATTCCCCAGCCAGGGCATGATTCCTGGGAGCTGAAGTCTGCCTGTCTCACATTTGTCAGGGTTGAGAAACACGGAAATGGCTGTAGGACAAAGAAAACACCATCCCCTCTAAAAATAGAGGAACATAATAGAATAAAGTAGAATTCTTTTATTGGCCAGGTGTGATTGGACACACAAGGAATTTGTCTTTGGTGCAAATGCTCTCAGTGTACACAAAAGAAAAGAGACATTCGTCAAGAATCATAAGATATAACACAATGATAGTCATAGGGTACAATAAGCAATCAAATCAGATAGATATAGAGAAAGAAAGAAAGAAAGATAGAATAGAATAGAATAGAATAGAATAGAATAGAATAGAATAGAATTCTTTAT